TGGGCCGCGGCCCACGGCTTAAGAATCTCTGATGTAGGATACTCAGATGCAGCCTATCTTTTTGGGGTTTTATCAGCTGCATGAGTAGACACCTATCAATTGGGCCCTATTTCAAATGCAATCCCTGAATTGAGACAACCAGTACTGTATTAGCAGTAAAATAAAAAATCTACAGGCAATACAGGCTAATGACTTTTAAACATCCCCCCAAAAGATTTTCTGATGCTCTAAATACTGAAAAACACTCCTTACTATCAGTATTTTTAATAAAYAATAAAAACATCCGAATATTTTAAATGAAAGTTAACAAACGTAAGGAGGAGGATGAAGAGGGAACAGCAGATGTTTCTAAGCTGAGTCTGTCGACCCTGAATTAGACTGTAAATAAAGAGGCATATGTTTTGTTTTGATCTCAGGAGCCTGGATGTGTTTGATCCTGTAACTCATGAGTCTACGTGGCAGATTAACGGGTCAGAGGACAAACAGATGTTTGTTCCCAGCAGTTCTTCTGTAGTCTGGCAGACCATCTTCTTATGTAACACAGTTATTGGTTTTATCCGTGATGCTGGGTTGAYATGAGGTAATTCTCTCACAGACGAGGGGCTAATTCTTTAGTTGCATCATGTTTCTGCTGCACACAATGTTCTGCTCACAGATCAGCCAGGCATGTTGTTCCTTTTTCCAAAATGCAGTTTGGAATTGTGTGTGCCATGAACCAAACCTCTCACTAAGTAAGAAATGTAGTTACAGATGTGTTTTTTTCTGCTGCAGACATGTGCATTGCCTCTGCCATCTCTCTGCTGATGATACTTATATGTGGAATGGCAACATACGGTGCTTACAAGGTAAGAAAAATAAAGTTTAGCCTCTAAATTTGTGTCCATTTTGTAAAAGTTTTTAAACTAAATATTAAAAAAAAGATTGTTTTTGTTTCAGCTGCGTGCTGCTTGGATTATCCCTTTTTTCTGCTACCAAATATTTGACTTTGCCCTCAACACCCTGGTGGCTGTTAGCATTGTGGTTTAYCCAAACACCATCCAAGACTACCTGCAGCAACTGGTGAGAGTTAGTTTTATTCTTTATACTTTAGTTCAGCTTTAGTCTGCAGTTGTTTTATGAGTGGTGCTTTTTAAACAAGTTATTATTATTTTTTCTGTCTCTTGTGCAGCCTGGTAATTTCCCGTATAAAGAGGAGATCTCTGCTCTCAGTAATGTGTGGCTGGTCCTCATCGTGTTGCTCTTCATTGGCTGTATTCTTGGCTTCAAGGTAACTTTTTCTTACTTCAGTTTGTCCATCCATCCATCCATCCATCCATCCATCCATCCATCCATCCATCCATCCATCCATCCATACATCCATCCATCCATCCATCCATCCATCCATCCATCCATCCATCCATCCATCCATCAATAAGGGCAGGTGTAGTGCAGACCCACCTAAACAGAACACATTCACCCAACACAGTAGATCCTCCTAATGAACAATGTAAATAGTTTATTTACTCARCGTGCCACGTGTTGTTTTGTTTTTGTGTGTTTTTCAACTATTGTGACAGTTTTAAATGGAATTTGAAATGGTTTTTAGTGATTTGTTCTATTTTTTTTTTACTTGTTTACAATTAGAGGGTGATACAGTCTAAAAGAAATGAGCCTAATGAAATGATGAGATACAACATGTCCAACAGAAACAAAACAAAATTTAATATAATTCTGATAATTCTCAATGTTTAGTTCATTATTGCCGTTTATCATAACTCTGCTGACATTCAAACACCTTGAGGAGTTTTAAAAGCCACGTTAAGATCCTTTAAATTATATTCAGCTTCCCCGTTCTGCAGGGGCCGCCACAGCAGCATGGAGCTACCACAGCTTCCTTCTTACATTATCACGTATTAATATCGTGCCATTACATGTCTGTGGAGGGCGTTCATGTCACAGAGCTGTCAGGGCTTTAGAGAGRCTTTAGAAACGTAAGAAAGAGAGAGCTCAGACTGGCTTTGTAGCCTGGAGCAGATGGACAGAGACACAGATGGATGGATGGATGTAGCAGATGGTGTTGTGTTTGGCTAAGATGTTCTGGTAACAAACTACCTGCTGAGGATTTCTAGAAAGCAGAGAACAGGAGCTTGTTTTTCACAGCTGTTAAATGATGTATAATCCTCAGAAATGGCCCTTAAATGGAGTCTGAATTCAAGGAAAGCCAAAGATTCTTTTGCTGACATGAAGTCTTACATTAAGTGCCCTAWGAGGTGAACTGAAGCCTGTCTGTGTGCAGGAAGTACTCAGAGACAAAACGACCTGATTCCCATTTTAGAACACACTGAGACACAAATCTGTTCATAAATAATTGTGTGTTTATTTTTAATTTATTGTTTTAGCAGCTGAAATGAATGAAAACAGCACAACTAAAGTGCAGAACTAATTTAAATGTCCCACAAATTTTCCATTTCAGTCAGACCTCCACGGTCTCACAGAAATGAGTTTGTTGTTGTGAGCTATCATCTAAGATCACTGCTTAAACTATATTTATGTTCCTAAAAATTAGATTATCATGACTTTCATGGCTTTATTTTGTTCTTTTAGGCCTATCTGATAGCATGTGTGTGGAACTGCTACAGATACGTGAGYGGCAGAGGTGGTTCTGAAATCCTGCTTTATGTCACAACCAATGACACCACGGTAAGATGCAGCGCTTCATCTTTAAGAGTCATTTCATAGAAAAAGCCTTTGTTTCAAACTTACACCCCACTTCCTTTTCTCTCTGCTCTGAGCCCCTTTGTTCACATTTTATTGTGAGTTAAAATGTAACTAACACATTGATGTCTTTATATTCTGTTTGGGTCATAGTTTTCAACCCATTCAGCTTTTCTGAACTATTACATCAAATTATTTAGTCTGGACTTACCAACTACAATTTGGTGGTCTTTATTCTCCTCAGACTCTGGCTCCAACATGTAAGTCTGGATGGACAAGTCTTCCCTTGTTGACATCTTTAATTTAATTGTAAATAAAACATTTCTGTGCTGATATATAT